AAAAAAAAAAAAGGGAAAAAGAAAAAAAAAAAGAAAAAAAAGTAAAGGAAGAGATGCGGCAGAAAGTGACAGCAAACTGTCTTTCATGCCCTCACCATAGGAATGCGAGCCTGCTTTGACCTTCTCAGTGGAGGTGGCTGGAAGGAAAAAAATACAAAACCTGTAGAGAAATGAACACAGTGCTCCTTGTCAGCAATTGGGAGGGAATTAGAGAACCCTAATTAACCGTGAAGAAAAAAGTTTTTTTCCTCTCATTCCCATGTGGTACTTCCATCCTCGTTGGCCTCGAAGACAGTATTTGGTGAGGGTGTTCTGTAGCTTTTCGTGTTAAATCCTGCATAGTTTCACAGCTCAGAGCACCATTCATGTACGTTGCCTAAGAAAACCTCTTGCAGAAAAATATTTGGATACTGGATGTGTAGATGATAGATCTCGGGGAAAAACCTTCTCAAGCTGTTTTGTTTGTATTTCCCTACTCCTGTTTTTGAATTGCTTTCTGTGGCATTTCATGGAAAAGATATCAATATATTTTCCCCAAGTCTATTCAGATGTCTCACTATTTGCATTCTCCATCCTTCTGTTTTTCAGTGTCTTTTAGAAGAAATAAAAACTACTGTGAAATACAGTGTGAGTTTAGATTAAATTCTAGTCTGGGCTACAGTCCTGCAGTTAGTTGAAGTCAATTTGCTGCATTTCCCTGCATGTGCTTGGGGAAAAAGCTGAAGGCATTAATTTCTACTACTCATGTATGGCCTATCTTTGGGAGATTTTTTAGGACCTGTGGTAAAGGAATGGTCTTTCTGAGTTATAACTTATTGATTCAGATGGTTGTGTAATATTCTGTAGATTGCTTGAATAGAAAAAAAATTACTTGGAGCTATGCATCTGCAATCTTTTTTATAGGCTTTGGTAGCATTTTTATCCAGTCTATTCTATTTAGAAGTAACAGAGCAATTTTCCTGTAGAATTTAATCTCTAGTTTTAAAGGCCAGAAGAGAAAACACATATTGTAAATATGTCTTTTTCCACGATCAGCTTGAGACATGTCTAGTCATTTTGCATTGATGCTTTTGGCTTTAATTTTTCTGGGTTTTTTCGGCATCATTTTCTTTACAATTCTTTTTGATTTTTACTGTATCATTCTGTGACATTGCACGTTGTTGTGTTTGGTGATCTAAAAATAATTTTGAGTCATGGATTTCTCAGGAGATGCTGTTGCACGTATTTAAGATGGTCTTTTCATGCGTGCTTTTAACATAAAACACAGAGACCCTTTAATTAGTTTATAGACATAAATTAAGAAATGAACTGCAGTAGCTGTCATGTTATTTCATTGTGTGAGCTCTGTAAACATTAAGTACAGAAGCAGTTCTAATACAGTACGTACAGATTGTCAAACCATTTTTAACACCACAAATCTTGCTTAATTCTAGCAAAGAGACTGGAGTGTTACATTTCACTTGTGTAGCCTCAGGCCTGGTTATTCTTTTATGTGCTCTGCAGATACATTCCATCGGTCTCTGGTGGAACTACTCTTGGTATAAATAACATGTGAAGAGTATAAGACAATTAATTTTAAGAATTTATTCACATGTATTTCCTGAGTATCTATTGAAATCAGTCCTTCACTTGTTGGTTATGTCTTGGCCTTGACAGGAGTGGATCCTGCAGTCCCAGGCAAAACATCCACTGGCACGCAGGGTGTAGGTCCTGAGTTCAGTTCCTTACCCCAGCCACAGGCACTGAGAGCACTGGGATAACTGCATGGTCAGGGTGTATACGTGAAGCCCATGGTGCGGAGGATTGGCTGTGGGCCAGGTGAATGGCACCGAGCAGGCAGGATGTGAGTGGGCAGCTAGGGTCTTTCACTTGGCTTTAAGAGATGGAAAAAGGTGGGATGGTGCAGCAGGAATAACAGAGATGATGTGCCATGTATCTGGCAGCCTCCACCGCTTAACACCCAGGTGCTTCACCTCTGGTTTGGTCCACAGGTGGATTGCACTTTGCAGTTTATAAGCAGTCCAGCTATTTTCTAGATTTCTGATCCAGCATCCAAATCTACGGGGAGGGTACTTCTGCATCAGCCCTATGAAGGCCAGCTGCTGCAACTTGGTGTGGGAGGGCATAAGAGTATTTATGTCTGGTGCTTTCTTAGTCATCTCTCTCATTTTTTCCCTTCCTGACTGCTTTTGCATAGTTTTCTACTACAGTAAATAAGACAGATTTTAGATTTGCTCAGTTGGTTTAAGATGATGATGTGGGCTGGTTTTTATCTGGAAAGCAAGTACCAGTGCTTATCATAACAGACTGTATTGTAATAATTGTTTGGTCACTTTGGCATTGTTGGAGGCAAATTGAAATCTAGAGTGAGATCCTGCATTAGGATAAATTGTATCAGTCATTGATACATTAAAAGCCAAAGACCAGAAGTGACAAAAGCAAAATTACTTTATCAGTTTTGTAAAATCCATGCATTGTAGACACAATGACAAATAAATAGTCCTTGTCAAGATCAGTCAAGCAAAAATATTAATAGGATAGAAAATGAGAAGTTTTTAGAGTGGTCAGAACTTATTGTAAAAGGACCAGTGTAATATTTTCTCATTAAGGAAAATGTATTGCTGTAAAGACTTTGATTTAAAAGTGACATCTTGCATTACAAGTACATTCCTGGCCTAGCTTCACAGTTCTGCTATCAAGTCATTAATGTGTTTACTCATGATTATTCAGGTGAATGAGGTTTGAAATTAATTGGTGTTTTTCAGGAAGAAGTGCTTGCCAACTAAATAGTAGGCGAGTTTTAAGCCCTTGCCTATTAAAAGAAAGGTGATTGTGTATTGCGTACATTTCAAAACCACAAAATAAATTTCTAATGCAGTTATATAACGCACTCTAGAATTGTTAATAAGTAAGACAGGATAAGTAATTTATAGAGTAAATTATTTAACAAGTCATGTGAGCTTGTGCTTAAAAAAGGGCATGTTTAAATTCATTGACGCTCAGAGCTGTTGGTATTTTGAGACTTTTTTATTCTAGATTTTGAGGCTGTTGTAGATTTAATGTCGTATAAAACTGTCTACAAGGATCCTCAGCCTCTAGCCCCTTCCTCCTCAAAGCAACTTCTGGCTGTGCATCATTGCATGACTTGGCTGGATTGAGAAGTTATTTCTGGTGACTTGGAATTGTATAATAAAACATGAGGCACCAGGCTACAAATTATTAAAGGCTTTTTGGACAGTGGTGATGTAATATCTTCCTTTAGGAATTTGTCCTTTTGTTTTTTTAAACTTCCTTTAAAGATCTGGATAATTGGTTAAGGTGAATTAAAAGTAAGCACTGTGAAAATCAATTTTGTAATTTCTGGGCTCTAAAAATACTCCAGGATCACAAAGCATTCAATTTTGTATACGTTCTTTGTTTTTTTGCTCCCAGAGAACCTTTTGTATGTCTTGTTCTAGATGCTGCCCTTCTGGCTTGTGAGGACTGATGGGGCTCCTGAGGCTTTCCATTGAGGCTGTCTCAATCAGGCTAACATAACAGCTCATGAGGCTGGAAGAGAGCATCATCCTTCAGGAGGCAGTCAGTGGGGCAGGGTGGCAGGAACACTATCTCTCCCTCATTATCTTTGGTCACTCAAGAGTTTTGAGAGAGGTTTGGGATGTATATACCGAAATGAAAGATTTGGTCTTGAGCATATTGTTTTCAAGAAACTTCCATTTATTTCCATACTAATGAGAAAATAGGGCTTGGCAGTGCAGCCTGTGATATCTTTAGGATGGCATTTTCCAGATTTCTCAGGTTCTATTTTTTCTCCATTATTTTTATGCTGACAAGTGTAACAGAGAAAGTAGCTTAGCAATATTCTGGATCCCTAATCACTGTAGAGCAAAAAATTTTATGTAACTGAACATGGGCCTGATTAATTCTCCATTTTGGTTTTCATTTGAAAGTAAAGGGGGATCCCCTAGCTTGTTTTTTTTTTTTTTTTTTGGATTGCAGTTCTCTTTTTCCCACAATTCTCATCTGTCACTACACAAGTGTCTAAGAGTATAGTCCTTGAGGTGGTCATCCAGATATCCATGATATCCGTTTCTGAGCAGGACAAGTAAGGTAATGGAGCAAAGAACTCTAAAATTGCTTCAGTGTATTGTTGATGTCAGATGTATATTTAGCTTGTTACCTCTAAAAAACTGCTCTTTAAAAACTCTCCTTTAAAAAGCAAAGCAGATTGTATAAATTCACTAATTTACATGCATTTGAAATGGAGAGATAAATCTGTAGAGGTTTGAAACCTACTGCTTGGGTTGTGAATATGCTTTTTAACAGGATGCTCTTAGGTTTGTGAAGATCTCTTCATCCAGATGTATGTAGTACATCACTGCTGTTAAATTATATATGATAATATAAAACTGGGATGCATCTTAATTCCTGGTTGATGGTGAACCTATATTTTC